TTCATAAAGCCATGCTGACCATCAAAGATGATGGGAGACGCTACGTTGTATAGAACGTTGTGCACCAGTCTTTCAAACACTTTGCTGAGACAGCAAAGTATAGATACGCCGCGATAATTTGTCACCTGATTACAGTTGCCAGATTTGTGAATAGGAAGGATGCAAGCAGCTTTCCATGCTGTCGGAAAGGTTCTTTCGTGAAGTGATCGGTTGAATAAGCGAGCAATTGGGTTTGCTAGTTCTCTTGAACAAATGTAGTGAGATGTTCTTCGTGCTATATATATATAAAGGGTGATACGGTCAAAATTTGGTCAATATCAACTTGACGTATTTCTTTCAATTTGACATTTAAAAAACCTGAACACCCCTCATTTTGAAGGTGTGTGTGTGTAGAATGTTGCTCCTATTTTGATTTTGGAATTCACTCTTCAGTTGTCAAAATGCCGTCCAAGCAAGAAGAGTAGCGTATCAAAATTTTGCTCGCGCATCGCGAAAATCCGAGCTACTCGCACGCAAAGTTGGCAAAATCGCTAAAAGTTGCCAAATCAACCGTTACATATGTAATTAAAGTGTTTGGGGAACGTTTGTCGACAGCCAGGAAGTCTGGATCGGGGGGAAATCGAAAACCGGAAGCCGCTGAGACGACAAAGAGAGTTGCCGGTAGTTTCAAGCGAAACCCTAACCTCTCTCTCCGAGATGCCGCAAATAAGCTGGGTGTATCGTCTACAACCGTGCATCGAGCCAAAAAACGAGCCGGACTATCGACTTACAAGAAGGTAGTGACTCCAAATCGCGATGATAAACAAAATACGACGGCCAAAGCGCGATCCCGGGGGCTGTACACGACGATGCTGACGAAGTTTGACTGCGTGGTAATGGACGACGAAACCTACGTCAAAGCCGACTACAAGCAGCTTCCGGGACAGGAGTTTTATACGGCAAAAGGAAGGGGAAAGGTAGCAGATGTTTTCAAGCACATGAAACTGTCAAAGTTCGCAAAGAAATATCTGGTTTGGCAAGCCATCTGTACCTGTGGCTTGAAAAGCAGCATTTTCATAGCTTCCGGGACTGTCAACCAAGAAATTTACGTGAAAGAGTGTTTGAATAAACGTCTGCTGCCTTTCCTGAAGAAACACGGTTGTTCCGTACTGTTTTGGCCGGATTTGGCATCTTGCCATTACGGTAAAAAGGCCATGGAGTGGTACGCCGCCAACAACGTGCAGGTGGTTCCCAAGGACAAGAACCCTCCCAACACGCCAGAGCTCCGCCCAATTGAGAAATACTGGGCTATTGTCAAGCGGAACCTAAAGAAGACCAAAAAAACTGCTAAGGGCGAGCAGCAATTCAAGGCAAACTGGCTTTTTGCGGCGAAGAAGGCTGTACAAAATCTGATGGCAGGGGTCAAGCGTAAGGCCCGGAAATTCGGATTTGGAAAAGCGGAAGCCTAACTGAATATTTTTCCTGAATTTTATACTAATTGAACTTGAAAAAGAAATTTAATTTGATTTTTTAAATAAACGATTTCACCGATTTACACGCGTTTTCCCTTGACCAAATTTTGACCGTATCACCCTTTAATATAACATTATCAAATTTCCCCTTAAACATTGTTTGCTGCAAGAGATGACTTCGAGCAGCACAATAGTCTAACATGGAAAGTAGTCAAGGAGAGTCGACTTCGTCATTCAGCAATATCACTTCTATCATTCCTTCGTAATTTTCACCCAGCTGCTATTTTTAGTTTGCGTGTAGATAGTTGATATTTAAATAACAATCATATTTGGTATGGTTGTAAAAAACAATCAATTGAATTGTAATGATCCTATGAACAACTTTACCGAAGACAGCAACTTCCTAGATGGCAAAGATTTCATGATTTCACGTAAAATAGGAAATCATCGATACATTTACACTAGCGCCACGTTGTGAAAAAATACCGAAATTATGTCCACCAACCATTAGGTCATGATCCACTGAACAACTTTGCCGAAGGCAGCGATCTCCTAAATGCGAAGGATTTTAAGATATCGAAAGCCAGTAAGAATCGAGTTCAAATTCATCCCGGCAAGATCACCAAATTTCGGAGGTTTATGGGAAGCTGCCGTAAAATGCTTCAAGAACGCCTTCAAGAAAACCATCGGAACAAGAACTCTGCTTTAACGACGAGATGCAGACAGTACTCGTACAGATCGAAGCGGTTTTGAACTCCAGACTGCAGTTAGCAACGATCCTGGAGACTTTGAAGCGCTCACACCAGGTCATTTTTTAGTTCAACGATCGCTGAGCCGAACCTGGAGCATCTTTTTGCTAATCGGTTCTCAGTTTGGCAAAGATCGCAGAACTACGTCCAGATGCTGTGGAAAAAATTGACTACTCTGTATCTCTCGGACCTGCATAATCGCACGAAATGGACAATATCACAGTAGGAACTATGGTCTTGCTAATGGATGAGCGTTTACCGCCGCTGAAGTGGAATCTTGGTCGAGTCATCGAAGTATTCCGAGGCTCTGACGACAACATCCGGGTAGTAGCAGTGCGCACAAGCAATGGGGTCTTCCGAAGAGCCATCTCGAAGTTTTGCGTGCTTCCATTTCGGGATAACGCAACATCTATCAACGACGAGCACTAATGCTTCTCAATCGGTGGTGCTAAAGCACCCGCGGAGGTCCGTGCGGCCTCCACGAACCAGTTAATTTTTGTATTATATCACTATTTCAAAAAGTTAATAGAAGTTTCATACCTCATAGCCACGGGCCCCCGGGACGTTCAACAGCACGGAGCCAACTTTCGAATTGGAGTCCAAGCCTTTGTCCACTTGAGTTCTATTTCCGAGGTACAAGCATGCGTTGGTGAAGGTAGATGTGTGATCGTCCAGACAAGAAGCTCTGTGAAGCCCCTAGTCAAGAAACCAATGGAGTAGCCAGTTTGTTTCTGGGTCCATCTCCATGCAAGTATGAAAATAACCACTTCCATTTCGTCGAGGTCAATCCTGACAGCATCCCGTGGTCTAGTAACCTGCAGTGTCTAGAATGGAGTTTGGCCTGTCAATACAGCCCTTAAAGCGGTAAGAGCTCAACGCTACCGTCAGGATTCAACCTCGTGAGTCATTAAGAGCGATCAGTACCATACTGAATTCTGTTGGGGCATCGTCATCGCCACTGGAAGCGGTCGGCAAGTTGATTTATGATTCACAAATTCAAGTCAAAAAGCACCCTATTTTTTCTAGCGACGGATGATGCCCGTGTACACTGTCATTGAGGGCAACCGCAGGACAACCAGAAGGATCTCCTACCGTAGATTGATGTCCAAGGAATCGATCGAACCCCGAAGGCACATTACTAACGCACCGACATGCAAGTCGACGTACCGAAGGATAGCAGGAAGAATCACAGAAGTGAAACGAAGAAGAATTCCACCGGCCGTGATGAAACGGTATCCCATGGCACACGGCATCTCGACGCAGGCGTTCGTCGCACGTCGTCGAGAAAGCAGTCATCGATGAACAGTATCAGCAGCAAGAAGAAGAAAACAAGTGGACTAATAGAATAATTAGCTAAGACCATAACATTGACTGGAAAGGGGTAAAAATCATCAAAACCGTCAGAAAAACTTCACATCTAAACGCATGGGAATCATCATTTATCACCAATACTGCTGAACCATTGATGAATGAAGACGACCCCCCATTATATCCTGCCTTTTCAAGCTGACAAATCTGAGAATCCAGTAGCGTCTCTTTTCTTCTTATTGGACGTGTACGGAACAACGTATGAACATCCTAAGTGATCAGTCGGACATTGTCCCGTAGATGGGGCCGAAACCGAGCGACAGAGAGGTAAATTTTAATTTATTTTAATTTTGTATGAACTATAAGTGTTGTGTCTTGTCTCGCGTCGTGTCTTGTGAGTGAAACTATTATTGTACACTGAAAACATATTTTCGTTAATACTATTACGCTCATTTCGTAAATATGGGTTTCGTAGATAAAACAAATATTTCCTTAGCAAGTTTAAGGAAACTTGGAAGACACATTCTGGGCAAGTCAGTAGGATTCATGGGGGAAGTCAAAAGGAGCTTTCAAATTGCATAGTCAACTTTCCCGTACTTGATATTGAAGGAATCATCGAGCTACGGAGATAAATTCAGGAAATTTGTATGGGAAAAGTGGTCGACTTAGACTGCACGGCAAATTAATCCGACTCATATTTGAGTCCCGTTGACTCAAATTCGCTCAAATGTAGGTCATTCATATAATAAGTAAATTTTTATGAGTGAATTTCGCTCATATTTGAGTGAAATTTACTCATAAATGAGTGATATTTACTCATATTTGAGTAAATATTTACTACGTTTTAACGGGACTCAAATATTAGTCTGATTAATTTGCCGTGTGGATTTCCATCGAGTTAGGGAAAGATCGTGTTAATTTTAAAAGAAATGTTTAGATTTTTTTTTCAAGCCTCAGGGAGATCTCCCAATTTACTACGCCAGAACGGTTTGATACCCCTACTTGCTACGCCACTGCAAAGTGATACATGAGCTTATAAGTCGACTATAATGATCGATAATCAGCATATTGTTTTGGACCAATGCAATCGAATAACGGAGCTAGCAACCATTTATTAGACATCTAATAAGAAAAGTAGTTAACTGATTTTGGTGCCAAGTTGCACATATAGTATCTATTCAGTTTATAATTTAGATCAAACTTCAGATATCGAGCCAGATAGATAGACAACATAATAACATTTAATAAGCAAATTATTCAGATCAGAGCAATGAACGTAAGCTTTCTTTAGCACTATGTGGCTTATTTTCTGCTCTGAATTGTTTGTTGGGCATTATACAATTTAGAAACACGATATTACAGCTTGAACCCTGCACTTTTCCCAGCCGAGATAGATTATGCTTTTGGACCAGTTCCGGTGAACCGAGGGCTTGCAGCAGGAATCCCGATAGAGAACAGCAAAACCTCAAAAATGAAACATTTCTCCACTCACCCGACACTAAATCAATCCATCGATTTTCCGGCTCGGAGCTGATTGAAACTGGTCTGCTGTTGTTTGCCGATTTCCAAACCTCGTCCGCCTTCAGCTCGGCGCATGTTGCATCGTTGTCCGACTCGGGAGTCTCTCTACTCACTGTGGTCCGCGAGTTTCCACGTCGATCGTTGTCACCGGTGACGATGATGATGATGATGATAGACCCCCAAGTCCGGGTAGGGGATACAATGCAAACAACAATGATGAAATTATCCGGAACCGAACCGCGTTGATGTTGATGAAGTTGAAAACCAGAACAGGTCGCAGGAAACCATACACAATGGTCACAACAGGCAGGTGGTGGTGCACGATGTCAAAAGAATTGCGGAAAATGAAACAAGAAAAATGGAAACGTGTCATAAAATAAATCCTGTGGAATGGAAATACGGCATCTGGTTCAGGCCTGTGGTTGGCAGAATGGTTGTCATCTGTAGGATGACAAGATGGATTGGGGAATTTGGGGATTTGCTGGAATGTTGTTGCTCGGCTCAGATGTGGTCGATATGGGATGACAGTTTTTGTTAATCCCTTTTTTGTACTGCTTTCTTGAGGATTAAACTCAAGCTTTCTTCGAGGAATTTTGCTAATAAGCAAAAAAGCTTGATTCGTCGACATTTTTCACGTTTGGAATTGGGTATACTCACGTTGCTTCTGCAGGAATGGCGTTGCCGCTCGGTAATGTTTGACTGTTAGTACTACGATGTCACCAGCGTTCCGGAGGATGTTCACCGCATCATCGTGTGGGCATGCTGTGATGTATTCACCGTTGACCTGTAAAATAAATAAAAAAAAAGATGATGATTCACCATGGACAGAGAAAAAACGCCGCTAAAATGAGTATCCTTTGTTGTGTACACTGTAACGTTATAATTACTGCTTCTGTTTATGGCGCCCTAGCGAAAGGATGTTTAATATTTTAAAATTCTTCAAATATTCATAACAGAGAAATATTCCTCTTCTACTAGCATCCTTCCTCCGGATGTTCCATTCATGCAGATCTGTTTTTCTAGGTGACCTATTTTGAGAGGATGATTTTCCCAACCCGGACCAACAACTTAAGCTGGAAAATCGTTTTGAATGTTCCCTCAAGGGCCTTTCATTTGTGTAGGGATTTTTTGACCCCGCAATAACGAAGCTAAGTTAGCTAACTAAAAAGTTTATCTCATACACGAATTCCCTCTTTCGAATGGCAACTGAATCCTTTATGTCTTCCATGGCTGTAGCAGAAATCCTTTGCATAAACCCCAAGGGTAAGGATACTAATTTAAATTGTGCAGGAGAGAACATTTTCAATTCATCCGACCTTTCCTGCTTTTTATTTTCGTAATTTTGTTGTGTTTTGTTTTTGCCACATGGAAGCCTAAAAATCGACTGTTGAAATGCCAGATCCGGAGATTAGTATTTTTTGTAGATAATTGGGGCTCGCTTCAGGCTCGCTATCAAATTGTGCCCGTTCATTACGCATAATATCAGTTTTCCGAATATTGTTCATAATTTTGCAGCATAAGATGCACATCCACCAAATCTGGGTATTACTGTTGCAGAAAATCAGCTCCCCTGCAGTCATTACAATACTTGTCATATCATACAGACTTAAAGAGAATCGCAGGAAATTATTTTTTATGTAGGGGAAATGAAGGCTTCGGCATGACAGACTATTTTCGGCAACCCAAATTGAAACACTATTTTCACTGGATTTTCTTACGAAAACACTTCGCTGAATGCAGACAAACGATTCTTTATGCTTTCAGCTTCAATTTGAATATATTTTTACCACTGAGAAAAAGCAATCTAGCAAGGTTTTCTTGAAATGCAACACACGCACTACAAATTGTAGCTGATTTCGAGTTGCCGATAATAGAACAGCAGATTTACATGCAGTTTAAATGGAACGGTTGCCGAAGAAAAACTGGTTGCCGACAATACTCGCTCTCACTAGAGAAGATTGGGGCTTTGTAAAAGCGTTTCAAAACAGTTTTTGACAATTCTTTCGACTGAAATTGTTAGAGCAGCTGGCAGCAAAAGATTGTAAACAAACCAATACTGCATATGTGTGCGTTCCTTAGAGAAAAAGGCTATAGAAAGAACGTCGCTGCTTAGGTTGCCGAGAATACGTAAATTCCCCTATCACAAATTAGTTGAGAACAATGCTGAAGTATCATTTCACTGGGTGAGCGTTCAGAGTAATTGTTTACAGGCTTTGACCAAAGGTGATCGAAGAATTGTATTCAGCAAGTGCGATACCAAAACATGTATACTGTTGCTTAGAATTTACAGTACATACGAACAAAAACACACAGCAGGAGAAAATAACTTATGAATACCAAATTCAGGGATGATATTAGCATAACTGGCAACCTAAATATGGTATTCAAGTGAGTTTCTATTTGATTTCATTTCACAGCATAATGTTGATATATGTAACAAGGGGAATTCCCCGACATTTGGGAATGTGATAAGCGAATTTGTTTTGGAGCTTATTCTTTGTAGTTCAATACTTTCTAATCGATTAATAAATTGGCATGTATCAAACGAAAGTTATTTATCTGATCACAAACAAATTTTGTTTGAATGCAAGACTAATGATATAGGGCTTAGATCTAATGTTGGGTCCACGAAGCACAACCCTCTATTTTTTCCTCTATTTTTCGAACGGATTTTTTGACAAAATGGAATTTTCTCACTGCAGATGCCTTCCAAATTTATTTAACTCTCCGTACGTATCGTGAGATTTGATAAAGAGTAGCACATTGTTGAGATATTGTTAAAAATCTAACACTGCTTCTTGACCCCAAACTCGGCCTACGGATTCTTACCTCGGCCTAACGCATTGAAACGCCATTAAAAGGAATTTAATTCACTTCGGTCTATTGGATGAAGATAAAAATTGATTCGGTCAGAGCGCCTCGTATGTTTATGAGAATAATGGGTGCTTCACAAGTTCTTATTGACTTCGTTCGGTAGATTTTGAACAGAAGTATCATGGTTCATGGAAATCATGGTTTTATTTCAGTCCGCATCGTACTTCCTTGCCGTGCGGATCTATTTGCTTTTTGCTGAAGGAAGTGTTACTACTACCTAAAGCTACAACAAATGTAAACAGCACTTTTCAGTGCTCAACCTGTAAAATTCCTACCTCGTTCAACTCTTATTCCTCTTCGATCCTTGTTTGGACCCTACCCGAGGTAATCCTTTTTGGATATCGATTTGGAAAATTCCTCTTCGATCCTTCAGATTTATATAGTAATCTGCTTGGAAGTCGATTTGGATAAAAAATTACTGCCGCCATGGCGCCTAAGCGCAAAAGAAATGGGCAAACTTTTGATCCCCCTTTTGATGAAATTAATTTGAGCAATCAATTTGATTTGCTCACGCATGATGAGAATGATCCATCATCCTGGAAAAAATCTAGTAAACTTTCCCGGCTTAATGCCAAGAAGGAAAAGATTCCCCCTATTGTGATAACCACTTCCGATTTCCATCCTTTTCACATGGAACTTTTGAACTTCGTGAAAGTTGAGTTTTCACTACAAATTGGACGTCGGGGTGAATGCCGTGTATTGGCTGAAACCTTGGACGGATTTAAATGTCTTCTCAAGTATCTTACTGAGAAGCAGCACATTTTTTTACTTACGACACCAAAACTGAACGTGTGTTCAAGGTTGTCATGAAAGGGCTGCCCAGGGGTGAATCCCTGGATCAGATCAAAGATGAACTGGCAAAATTACTTGGAGTTGTGTCACTCCAAGTAATCAAAATGAAAATGAAATCCCGTCCTGGCGATTCGCGCAACGGGATTTCTAAAGATTTTTATTTAGTTCACTTCAAGTCTAGTGAACTAAACAACCGTAAGGCTTTAGAAAAAGCTAGCCTTATGTTTCATGTTCGAGTGAAGTGGGAACACTTCAGGAAGACTGGAGGAAATTTCCAAAACCTCACCCAGTGCCGTAAGTGCCAGGGATGGGGTCACGGAACTAGAAATTGCTACATGCCAGCTAAATGCATGAATTGTGGTGATTTCTCTCACGCAAACGATGACTGTTCTGTGAAAGAAGATCCTAAGAAATTTAAATGTTCAAATTGTGGTGAAAACCACAAATCCAATTTTTGGGAATGTAAGACTCGCAAAGCGATCCTACAATCTCGTTCGAAGGGCCGGGTAGGTAACGCTCCAAGTTTCCGACCAGGTACAAATTCCTCTGCTGTTACTAAACGGTCAGCGAGGAACAAATTCTACATTTGGACCCATAGGTACAAATATCACCCCTGCTTCAAATTATTCATCTATACCTGCTTCCCTCGCTGCTCAAAATGTTCAGCGAGTTAATGGAGCTACCTATGCTGTTATTGCAGAGAGAAGAAATCAAAATACTAGCCAACGTTATTCTAACGGAAATTTTGACTTAAGAAGCATTATTGCTCCTAAAATAGATTTTTTGCAGAAATCATTAATTGACATGATTTCTGATATGCTTAAATCTAACTCCACTTTTGATGCTTTTCAAACTGGAGTAAAATTTGCGAACAATATTGGCATGACTTTGAAATTCAGTAATGAATTTTAAATCATTAAATATTTTAAATTGGAGATAATGAAGAAGAGCTATTTAACTTTTTAAGAGTTCATAACGTGCATATTGCCGTTATAACTGAAACGTTCCTCAAACCTGACCATAAGGTTAAAAGGGACGCAAATTATTTCATTTATAGAAATGGTCGCCTTGATAGAGCCTGTTGTGGGGTTGCCATCATTGTTCATAGACGAATCAAACATAAAATTCTTTCTTCATTTGAAACCAAAGATTTTGAAACTTTGGAAGTTTCCGTTGAAATAAAATGTGGAGAACTTATTTTTATAGCTGACTTTTTGCCATTCCAATGCGTAGGCCAGCAAAAGAATTTTCTCAAGGGCGACCTTCAGAAAATTACCCGTCATAGGTATAAATTCTTCATTATTGGTGATTTTAATGCAAAACACCGCTCATGGAATAATGCTCAAAGCAATTCTAATGGTAATATTCTGTTTGATGATTGTTCTGCAGGTTATTACACTATTCAATATCCAAACAGCCCAACATGCTTTTCTTCAGCAAGAAATCCCTCAACTATTGATTTGGTCGTAACTGATTCATGTCAACTTTGTAGCCAATTGGTTGCTCATGCTGACTTCGATTCTGATCACATTCCAGTGACTTATGAAATATCTCAAAAAATAATTTGTAATCCCAACAGCTCTACTTTCAATTACCATAGAGCTGATTGAGAGCAATATCGAACATTTATGGAATATAACTTCGATCCAAACATTCCTTTGCAAACCAAAGATGAAACTAATTATGCTCTTGAATCTCTGACTACTTCTATAGTTGAAGCAAGAGCTGCCTCAGTACCAAAATGCGAGGTTAAATTCGATTCAATGATAATAGACGATGATCTTCAGCTTTTGATCCGTCTTAAAAATGTCCGTAGGAGACAATATCAAAGAACGCGCGATCCTGCCATTAAAGTTATCTGGCGGGATTTGCAAAACAAATTAAAAAGCTATTCTCGGCCCTGAGGAACAAAACTTTTGAAAATAATGTTTCTAAATTAGACCCGAGTTCCAAACTTAGAAAAAGCTAGCCAGAAACTTGCTAAGCAATTCGAGAGTTCCCATAATTTCAGTTTGGGTCTTACTAGCCATATTGAGAATCAGATTGCTCGTGATTATGTGAATGTTTTCTCTAGGGAAAATATTTTTGAAGATACCTGGGGGACTGATTTGGACGAAG